GTTCTTGCTCAGGCTGGTCTCAAACTCCTGACCTTGAGCGATCCACCCACCTCGGCCTCCCAGAGTGCTAGGATTACAGGCGTGAGCCACCACACCCGGCCGTGACTTTAGTTTTAAACTGTCTAATAATAACAACAGTATGTCATATTTAGTGAGCACATCATGTGTTAGGCACTGTTCTGAGCATTTTATACATAATAAATCTTTTATCATCACAAGAAACTTACATTATAATTATCACTATTTCATAGGTGTATAAACCGACACAAGCACAGGTTAATTAATTTTTGCCTGAGATCAAATACGTGGCTAGTAAGTGCCTGATTTAGGATGCAAACCCCAGGCAAACTGGCTTCAAATAGCATTCTTTGCTATTCCATCATTCTGGAGAGTGAGTTTTTATCAGTGGTTCTCTTTATTAAAAATTCATCACAGTTGGGACCTTTCTAAGAGCTTTATTTGTGTATGCATAATACAGGCAACTCGATTGCCTCTGGCAAGAGGGAAGAGAAAAGAGCAGACAGTTTTTCTTCCTTTTTTATTCCATCACGATTCTCAGAGCAGACACTGTAAAAATGTGATCCAAAATGCTTGCTAACTAATCTTTACTAATTTGGTATTACGATCTTATTTTATCAGAATGATACTAAATAAATTAGTAAATATAAGTGACAAAAAGCAGATGCTGTATGTTTGCTGCTATTACTACAAAAGATTATTAGGTTTTTTTTTTCTCATACACTAACAGAAAGAGTTTTAAAGTAGTCAAGATTGATTATTTTCAAAGAGCTATAATGTTAAGATTTAACTCAGGTCAATCATCTGCAAGTTAAAATTACTTAGAAGCGTACTGTCCATAATTAAGTAATCTTACCTACTAATATTACAGAATAAGGATACCTTTAGATGACATGAAATCTGTCATTTTAAGCATGCCCCCAAGCCTTTTCCAGATTGCTCATAAAATTTCTCATTCTCTAGAGAAATGTGATCTCTAAGAAATAAATGTCTCTGTCAACTCACAAGTAATATGAGCACATGATGAAAAAATGGAATTTTTGAATCTCATAAGGGATATTGCAATATTGTAAAATCGATTTTATTCCTTGTTATTTGAGTTCTCATGGTCATTTTAGGATTTACTTTCTGGATCTGAAGGGTTATGATTCCTTTGAGGGAGGTGGGGGACAGAGGCCTTTGGGGAGCAGGAGAATATTTTTCATAGGAAATTCTTTGTGAGAAAATGCTAATGTTGGTGTTCTTGTCTTTATGTCTATGCATTCTTTAGCTATGAGGATAACAGACCCTTCATCAAGTAAGAATGACCTGAATGGCTGATAAATTCCATTTATCAGTGTGGTCCCATGAACCAGCTGTCAGATCACTACTGAAAAATCATTAGAGCTTCTGTCATTCACATTGAGGCAGAAGGGCAAACTGTGCAGGAAAATAATCTGGCATACAATTCAACATGCAGAATACATATGCTGCGGGTGTATGGCCAAAAAAATTCTGCTTTACCTCTGCTAATTGGATATCACCTGAATTCAGTGCCACAGCAATAGCAATTTCCTGTGGTACAGACTTGTCTTGCTTTTGATAGCTTTCTCCTTTCAATGTGATGTGTTCCTTGTGCTGCATATGTCCGCATTTCTGTTGTTCGTTTGGACATCATTCATCTAAAATTATTCTGTGATTCAGTGGTGTATCTTCAAAACGATCTTATGGGTATGAAACTACCCAACTGCAATTGCTATTAACT